CTTTGACAAAATCCTAAAATGGCTTTCTCCATGTCCTTGTCTATCGTCTAGCTTCATCAGATGGACTTCGTGATGTAAGCGTGATGTGCTCATTAAGCAGATTCATGCGCGCATCAGAAATCAGTACGTGTTTTCCTTGATCGCCACAATCTTCTAAATTAGGCGTTATTGAACTAGGATTAATTACGAGTGATCACGAAGTTATCCCTAAATCATCGCTAGCTTGTTTATGTGCCAAAAACGAGATCTTTATATATAGTTCCTGCCACGTGATTTTTCACAAATTTGGCACTTTGTGTGAGCATTTATAGAAGTCGCTGTATAGCTAAAAAAAATTTTGTTGCATATTTCACGCAAGAAGCTAGCTGTATAATTTACGTAGGCTGAGCCTATTTCTAAAATAAGGCAGTTGCATTCATCATAGATTCTTCTTCTGAAGCGCAAAATGCCGCAATGTAATGCTTGCGGGTCAAATTTTTTGGTAGCAACCCTTTGGTACGTTTTTTATAGCGGCATGTTTGAAAAGGTGTGCTATTTCGTCAAGTTTTCCTAATTCCTTTCTTTCTTTGAGAAAGGCTGGCGCCCTCTGAAACGATAGGCAAAACGACAACCATACGAAAATCAGCGGATAAAGAAAATATTGGAAACTTCATACATCTACACCCAATTCTTTATTGTCGGGACGAGAAAAATAGATGCATGTCAATGAGTAAATTCAATATGTAAATGGTATGAAAAATTTGGTTCTGGTACGCAATGCATGTGGTCCGACAATGGTCTTGGTCATTTTTACCTTGAATGCAGCTGTCCATATGGACTGAATCGGTAGATATGTGGATTGATATGGCTGACAAATCCTTATGATGAAATTAAGTGCGAAATTCCAGTGAAGCCGAGCTGATATTTTATCGCCATTTAGACTTTATTTGTGCTTAATGGTGCTCTACTTTTGTTTAAACTTGTTTGTACCAATATTCAAACTATTTATATCATAATATAAAGTCAGACAAATAACTCTGAAATAGTTTTTTTGACAAAAACTTTTTTCGAAATTATTCGAAATTTGCAAGAAGACCATGGCAGAATCAAAATCAAAGCACGCCTATGTGTATACACGTTGGCAATTGAGGACATTCCAGATTATGTTGAGCAGTATGACGTGCAGCTTGTATTTGGGTCCTCAGGCTGTCTACGTACTGGCAGAAATTTTCATCTCCTGAATAGAACATTACATGTGCAGGTGATAAGTAAGACTTGTTACAAAAAATCTCCCTATGACTCACCTACTCTCCACATCTCACTTTCCTGCTGTTCACACTTTCAATTCTTTTCATATTTCCTTAGCATTTCAATGTTTGCGACGTTGTCTGTAACCAAGTAGAGCTTCTTAATTTTACTATTGATAGACTATCACAATCTGTTATTTCATTCCATCCGTAATTTTTCTTATAAAACCGTTTGTTCAACTCCATTTCAAGTGTTGTGCCTTTGAATCTATTGATCATCGAAATGACCGGTACAGCAAAAGAAAGATTCTCCACCACTGGGCAAAATGTGAGCTTTTTGAAAGAATTTTTCACAGGAAGCGTAATTGTGGAAATAGTTTTGAACTTGGAAAAATATACATCAGTAGTCGTATTTTAGTCGTACTATCAGTTGGCTATACAGAATTTTGTATATCGTTTGGGTCCACCTCCAAAAGTGTATGAACTTTTTGAGCATAGTCACTAAAAACTACACCATTCTGCTTTGAGTATATTTTCTAGGAGAAGATCAAAGAATACGTGTTTATACGTACAACGAAGCATTGTCATGCATGCCAAGGTTCTAAAATAAAGGACCTAAAACAATGTTATGTTCATATATTCAAATAATCAAAACTGCTGTAGCTATGAAGAGCTTAGAGCAGGGTCAAGCTTGTGATGCGACTGTCGCAACGGGGGGTCGTAAAGAGGGTACCTAAGGTGGGGGGGGGGTCGTAAGAGAAGGTATTTAGGCTAAATACCATAAGCTTAAAAGGGAATCAAAAAGCAGATGATTCGTTATGTTCTTTACAATAAATTTATAAAAAAGTGGAAATCAAAATAAAAAAGATAAGAAAATCTGTAGAAATTTCCAAAAAAAACATTTACAAGAGCTCAAAACATTTTTTTGAAGGATGTAAGATTTGATAAAAATGCTAAACGTACCGATTGCTCTAGAAATCTTGTTTCTGAAGCCCTCCAGAAGTCTCACACACTCGACAAAAGCGAATATCTTTACCAGCTGTAGCCATCATAAATTTTTAAATCTTTTTGTAATGTTTTTCACAGACCCATACGATTTATTTGTACTTTGGAGATGCTCCGCTACATCAATGCAAAAGTTGGTGTTATTTTGTCAACTGTGGATTTTCTTATAATTTTATGTATGGTAGCAAAAAATCAGGAAAGGGGGGTCGTATCTGGGTAAATTTCTTCGGAGCTATTGAAGCTTGTTGGCTGCAATTCCGCTATAATATGAGGCCACCCTCCTTCTTCATCTCATAAAAATTGCAGGCTGTTTTATAACTTCTCTGGTAAGTTACAAAATTTTAAGCTCAAAAATCCCAGTTTTTGCTTTTTAGGATCGCATCTAAATTTCCAAGAGTCGCATCTAAATTTTTTTCGAGCTTACTGCTCCTCAAGAGCTGAAACTTTTTCTTTGGATAGTCTGGGCAACATTCTACAGAACCTGTGCTTTGCAGCCTCTCAGTCTTCTGGTCTTAGTTACGAATTTTCAAACTACCGTGCTCATGCACGTTTTTGATGTCGTTCTGGAAGGCGCTCAAGCGGTTTTCTTCGCGGTAAAAACTGTGGAAGCGGTGGCAAGAAAGCTTCTTAGTCGAAAACATTTTTTGTAGTTCAAGAATGTAATTTTTTTTCTCCGTGCAAAAATTTGTGTCGCTTACGGGAATCGAATTTGCTGGTCTGAAGTATGCCTGAAAATTCAAAAAAAACTTGCAGATTCTCAAACATTATTTTCGTTTATGCAGGTTACCGCGAGAAATGTGGGCAGGTAAGAGGGATAAATGGGGGAGGGTGGGGCGAGGGGGGGAGGAGGGTCGTACGGATGGGTACCTTCAAGGGGGGGGGGGGTCGTAAATGAGGATCCCGGATCGCATCAACACGCTTAACCCTGGCTTAGAAGTAACGCGCATTGTGGTTTTAGAACTGGAGCTTTGCTAACTTCAACTGCAGGAATTACAAAAAAAATGAAAGTGCCCCAGCACCTGCGCAACTCTCGTAAAAAACGGTTTTGTAATAGACTTCTGACTAACATGCGCTGATTTTCTCAAGTTATCAGTAAAAGCCATAGATAATAAGAGTAAGCATATTTTTGGCGGTGTTATGTACAAGTCGCCGATGGGAGAGAGAAGATGTGAGGTACTTGATATCGCATTAGGTTTCCCTAATTTTTCGCCTATCCATCCAAAAGGCTCTGCTACCCTCTAAGCATGATAGTAAAAGCGCATACCATGCAAGCAGCAAATTTCAGGGTTCTAGTGATCTCCTGAAACTAGGTACCTCAAGAGATCGCCACAGATGTGCAAAGTCATCCAGTTTCAAACGAAGTACATGAAAGCGTCGCAAAGATTGGTAGCATATTTTTCAACAAAGAAATCACAGACAGGGGATATATAAAATATATATAAAGCAGAAAATCTGTGAGTTTGTTTGTGCGCATTCGGGTGCAGGTTGTGCAGGCTGTGCAGGGTGTGCAGGGTGTGCAAGGTATGCAGGTTGTGCAGGTTGTGCAGGTTGTGTAGGGTGTGCAGGATGGGGAGGGGGTAAGTGAACATGCTGATTCGAATACATTATTGACAGGGCGGAGGCGGGTTTGCCAGCTCGTATAAAATAATATAAAATATCAAAACTTTGACAGAATCTCTATCTTCAGAGAAATATCATCAAATTCGCCGACAAATCTGCTGCACATCCTCATATGTAGAACATGAATGACTTTGAAAAACAAAAGTGTATCTTGATGTAGTGGAAACACTAAACAAATAGCGTGAATTGCAAGTCTCTTGACCTTTTATGATAAAGCTCTTTCTTAGCTGGGCTCCTTTGGCCGAGGTAGATGTTATGCATGTGGTCCTAAGACTCAAGCTTTGAAGAGTTCTATTCCTTTTTGGAGGCAGTTCTTATGACTCGAAAGCTTATTAATATGAGCATGCTGAGACCAACGTTTCTGAAACAATGTTCCACCCACAGCACGCAGCAAATTGATTGTCCCATAATACCTTTTCCACCCAAACAAAGTTTCATTCTTCCTAGCTCCCATTTGTGATGCAATTCTTTTATTTTTGAATACAATCAAAAACTGCTGATTCTACATACGCAGCGTAGTCTACATACAGCCAAAGAATTGAATTACTTGATTAACATCAAAAACTGTGTGTGATCTTGGGAACTATGTAATGCTATTTCACGGCAAACGGTCGAAAAAAGGCGATTTGATTCAATCTGACATTTCCTTTACTTGCTTTGATACTCATAAGCGGTCATGTGCATATAGCTATCGCTATTTAGTCTTACGAGCTTCAAATTTTCAAAAGGACTTCTTTTGTTTGAAGAACACCGCACTGAAGTGAGAAATTTACGCTCGTCTCTATTTTTTCAATTCATTTTACCAATCTAATCCCTAATATGTTTATCGGCGTCTCATCCATCAAAACCAAAACATCAAATGCACTTGTCTAAGTGGCTGCTGCTATCCTTTGCTTTTATCAAAGGCATAGAATCTCACAAGATAAAGTTGATTGGTTGTCCTGTAATACTTTTCCCACCCAAACATGGTTTCATTCTTCTTAGCTCCCATTTGGGTGATACACTTTTTTCATTGTTGATTACAATCAAAGACTGCTGAGGCCACTCTGTATAAAGAATCCAATTTGAAACCACTCAGTGGGAAAAATTTCAGGTCAGTTTTGGCTGATAACTGGATTTTTGGGATTCAAATTCGATTTGGGAGAACAAATGTTGCCAGTTGCGCAGATTGCCCAAGAAGAGGTGAGTTCATTATGAATTTGCCCTCAAAAATCACTTTCTAAATTTTGTTGGGAACCTATTGTGCGGTACCTAGACCATGCTTGACCCCACTTCGACCACATTTTCCTTTTTTTTGTGTGTTCAGGGATCGCAACACAAGGAAGTACAAAATTCAAGAAAGTCAAGCTGAGGCATCCTTTAATTGTATTTCATTGTTTTCGAATGCTACTTCAAGCAAGCCTAGCTTCAGTTCACACTGCTACGTATACATCACAACCAACATGGCCTTGTCTGAGAGAAATTTATTCTATGGTCTCTCGTTTGGCTCTGCTTTGGCTAGTTCACAAATGTGTGCTCTAATCATTTTTCATAGTGGAAGAAACTCAAAGCTGTATTGAGTCCAAGACACTCCGGTGAAATTGCCAGTGAGGCGAAGGTACTGATTCCTTTGGAGGTTTGATAGATGCCAGTTTTGTTCACAGACTTTGAGGCTACTTTCTCAATATAAACTCTTCAGAATCTCTCTTCACCATGCATAGACCAGCAAGACCTTAGCTTTCTCTGCCCGCTTTTTCACTCTACAACTTGCCTTCCGGCCTCCATAGTACGTAGAAGATCGATGACTTTTTGCTTATTTGGAACATATAATATGACAAATCGGTGGGACTTATGTGTGCTGCCACTTCAAACATGACCCATCTGTAGTATGTTTAGCTAACTTCTGCTTTACGCCGATGATCATTGAATTTTGGCACATGTTTGGAGACTCTAGGTAAAGCTCTAGCCAATAGACCACCAATTCGAACCTTACGAGCCACCGCTAGGACGCAACTTTGATTTTGCAGATTACACTATGATCCGGAATGGCAGGAGATTGAAAAATGGGCTGGTCGTAAATGTAGATAACAGAGGCTCGAATTACACTAAGACAGATCGTCCGCAGTTAAATTAGTTTGTGGTGCCTTTTTCATAGCTAGAAAATGCTCGTAGCACGTTAGATGGGTTTCAGCAGCAAAATGATCTCTACCTTCATTATAATTGTTTCAAGCTGAACCTAACAAAGAACGTGTTCAAGCGAAGTGATCATTTGAGATGGCATTATATTGCTGAAGTTGATGTTGTATGCTAAATCAAAAATAGTCATCCTCGTAAAACGGATTCAGAAAATGATTATAAGATCTTGGTACATAACCACTGCGACTAAGAGAGCACAAAGGGCTAACAGTTTGTATTTCCTTATCATTTCGCGTTTCTACTTTTGTTTTTGGTTGCTTATTCCAGACAAGTGCTTCACATATACAGATTGTTTCGAAATCAAAATGTGTTTTGTGGTTTACCTCTGGCGATACATCAATCTAAACTGTCACTTTGTCTACAAGTACATCCTGTAAGCATTTTATTACTTCATCCCAGATATCTTTCTCCTGAATGCTTTCTATCGTAAGCGAACAATGATGGCATTTCACTTATTTTTTGTGGGACTATTCGTCGTAAAGTTAGACTGCGAAGTGAAATCTGAATATTAAGTTTTGCGAACACTATAGGCTCTGGTTTCGTCTAAACTTGAGTGAAGTAATTTAACTATATTTTGCAGCCATTTTTGAATTTTGAGTGCCATAACGTATGATTCTGAGATAAGAGAACTAAGGCTAGCATATTATTCTCAACAATAGCATTTGAAGTTGTATAATGCTATAGTAGATCCTTTTTCATACAGTCTTCTTTCTAAAAGCTACGAACGAACTCGTGAAGTTTCAAGATCGTGGTTCAAAACACACTTCATAATGGAGACATGAAATGAGTAGAAGTTCAAACATAGAGTGTTTGGTTACAATTATACACGCAACTCTGATTCATTGAGATTAATAAGGGCATCGCATGCTTCCTTATGTGATCACCAATTAATCACATAAAAGTTTGATTTTCGCACATATTTTTTCGTACCCAATGTTTCGTAATCGCACAACCGTTTCGTCACCTGATTATTTCTGCAGAGATCATAACTCATTGAGTTCAGGAGTTTTCACATGGTGGTAGAGAGTAAATCGTAACCAAGTAAATCGTAACCAATCGTAACCACGGCAGATTGGTGACCCATGCGCCTCTCTAGCGCACAAAGAAGTTTAGAACATAATTTCAAATCATCTCCAACAGATGAGGCCCAATATGAGTGAGAAGTTACTGCATTTTTATCATCGTAATCCTTTTCTAGTGAGAAACAGCAATGTTTGTTTCTTTCCCTGACCGCTTAGAATCTCCGGTCTTGGAACGCAAAGAGTACCAAGAGTAATCCAGAAGTGTCCCTTACACATTGTGGCGCTGATCTGGGTGGACTCATGTGTCATAGGCTGCTTAGGACAATTTTCTCACTAACTACAGTTGTGACAGTGGAATGTGAAAAATTTCGGCGAATTCGCCGAATTCGCCAATTTCGCCGATGTCGCCGAATTCGCCGATGTCGCCGGATTCGCCGATGTCGCCGATGTCGCCGACTTTGCGTCTTTTCGTCATAACTCCCTTCGTTCTCAATGGATTTCAAATTTGAAGGCAGATTTGGATTCAGCTCGCCGAGACGAATCTTTTTATGTATTGAACTGCTGTAATCGGCTCGGTCACGGTAAGTGAATGGTAGGAATCCGTTGCATCCTGTGGTGGTGTTTTCTAGAGCGTGTATTTCGGCGCATAATGTAGGCAAAAGTTTAAGAAAAAGAGCGTTTGATGGAAGAGTTTCTGCTGAGTGTTTCCAGCAAAAAACCATATCCTTTTTTGTAGTGGAAAAAAGAGAAAGGAGTACGTGAACTTAGTAAATATATATGAACCACTTACCGTCAAACAAACATAACTATACAGTAACACTATGACTAGCAAAACAATTATAATCTTTGTAATCAGCATGTCTTGTGGCTTATGTGAGCAAAGTGACACACTGCATGACTATGATATTCTGCTTCCAGCAAAACCACTTTTTTCTGCAGAGCCTCTTTGCAACGCTGTGGGCCAGCCCCTTTCACACTTAAAAGATTTCGGTAAGGCGAATCGGAAAGAGTTGTTTCCGTAGATAATCCAGCGGTAAAAAGTAGACGGAGACATGCTTTATAAAGCGCGAAAAGAGATGGTGAATTCTGCAGAAATCACGCGTCTTTAAATTCTACTCGCCATAACTTCCTTCGGAATAGGTATATTCTGAATCCGAAAACAGCTCCTTGCTCAACTCATCAAGGCGAATCTTTTGGTATACAGCATGTCCTTGATATCTCGATTTCAGTATTCTTGAATTTTTCTGAGGACGTCTTTTCGCGAAGGTGTAAAGTAGCGAGCATTGTTCCGAGTAGACTCCAGCAGGGACCTTTTGATAGTACTTTTTTCTGTAGATTATGATGCGCTAAACAGTAGCCGCAATTTTCTTTTCAAAGGAAAAAGATGGGCTGGTGAATTGTGGAAAAATCTTGTCGTCCCAAATTCTACTCGCCATAGCCATAGAATATGATGCTCTCTTGCTAAGCAGATGTGATTATCGTAATCAGCAGGTCGGATAACCACTATGGGCAAGTTTTCCAAGATATTCGTAAAGCAGTGGTATCAACGCAGAGTACTCTGAAGCTGGCCGATGGATTTTGGTCAAAATGCTGATGGTCCTGAATTGTAAGGAAACTTCGCTTATAGAGGTTTTCGAACACGCTCTTTACGAAAATCGTGGTCTTTGAGGATCATAGGGTCTTTTTGGAGAGATACGGTGAGGTGAATGTAACTGCACCACGAAAGTGCGTAACTTTGACCGCACTTCTCGCGTATCTCTCAGAAAGCTTGCTTGCTTGCTTTCCTAAATCAAAGTGACTGGGAACTGAGCTATCGAATGGTGCATGAATCGGGCTCCAGTCTATAAAATTCGCCGAGTTACAAGCCTTCGAAAACACGTCCTCTTGAAATTTGCACAAAATGTAAAGACCGCGTACTTTATTGAAATTCCATCGTGAGCGGTTGCATGACTAATTGCAAATGTTATGTTCACCCCGCCCGCGTTTTATACAACCGCTCACGATGGAATTTCAACAAAGTACGCGATCTTTACATTTTGTGCAAATTTCAAGAGGACGTGTTTTCGAAGGCTTGTAACTCGGCGAATTTTATAGACTGGAGCCCGATTCATGCACCATTCGATAGCTCAGTTCCTAGTCACTTTGATTTAGGAAAGCAAGCAAGCAAGCTTTCTGAGAGATACGCGAGAAGTGCGGTCAAAGTTACGCACTTTCGTGGTGCAGTTACATTCACCTCACCGTATCTCTCCAAAAAGACCCTGTGATCCTCAAAGACCACAATTTTCGTAAAGAGCCTGTTCGAAAACCTCTATAAGCGAAGTTTACTTACAATTCAGGACCATCAGCATTTTGACCAAAATCCATCGGCCAGCTTCAGAGCGTAAGACGAGAAAAAATGAAATCACGAATATCTTGGAAAACTTGCCCATAGTGGTTATCCGACCTGCTGATTACGATAATCACATCTGCTTAGCAAGAGAGCATCATATTCTATGGCTATGGCGAGTAGAATTTGGGACGACAAGATTTTTCCACAATTCACCAGCCCATCTTTTTCCTTTGAAAAGAAAATTGCGGCTACTGTTTAGCGCATCATAATCTACAGAAAAAGTACTATCAAAAGGTCCCTGCTGGAGTCTACTCGGAACAATGCTCGCTACTTTACACCTTCGCGAAAAGACGTCCTCAGAAAAATTCAAGAATACTGAAATCAAGATATCAAGGACATGCTGTATACCAAAAGATTCGCCTTGATGAGTTGAGCAAGGAGCTGTTTTCGGATTCAGAATATACCTATTCCGAAGGAAGTTATGGCGAGTAGAATTTAAAGACGCGTGATTTCTGCAGAATTCACCATCTCTTTTCGCGCTTTATAAAGCATGTCTCCGTCTACTTTTTACCGCTGGATTATCTACGGAAACAACTCTTTCCGATTCGCCTTACCGAAATCTTTTAAGTGTGAAAGGGGCTGGCCCACAGCGTTGC